TAAAGTTGCACACGGGGTTGAGTTTTGAGGAATGTAAGGAGATGAAGACTTCTTCTGTCAACATATAAGATAAGAAACAAAACAATTACTGAGGTAAAATGTGTAGTCCTAGGATTAAATAAGGCACTGTCAAATACATGACATGGAGGAAGACCATGATACTTAAACACGAGAAACACATTGACTTATATATTGCATATTTGCATAAAATCACATTTCATCAATGGCAAACAAATGGCTATATGTGGCTGTGTGAATGAAGAATAGCTTTACGAGATAAGTATCATGCCATCTCCGAAAGTTACTTCTATATTATCATGTAAAGCATTATACTGTTGAAGTTGAACAGCCTAATCAAAGAACTAAAGGACCTGAACATTATACAGAAGTTTCAACACAGTCTGGAAACAAAGCTCGTGAAGATTAGGAATAAAAGAGATGAAATTTACACCCAAGGGCATAGCTAGAGTAAGCTCCAATCCCTTGCGGAACTGTTGAACCAGAGAATAGAAACTCTGATTAGCTTACCATCTTACTTCCACACCAGTTTGTACCCCCACTTAAAGCACATTACACCCCAAGGACCATCCACTACTTGGTAGTCAAGAAAACAAGACTAGTGCAAATAACCAAAGAAATTTTCGGTGTTAGGTTGGAGGGAAAAGAAGAGGCTGGAGTGAAAGGGAATTCTTTTATGAAATTTGCACTGTTTATATACCAAAATGTCCAAAAAATATATTTTACTTTCGTATCCTCTATTAAAATTATAAAAGATAGCCCCTTGTGAACCAGACACACTGTTATTCAATTACCAGAACCAACAATAGAACGATATTGTTTGTATAATAGAGGCAAAAGGGAGCATAATGTATGGAATAATTATAACCATACTTCTATACGTTCTGTATATTGTTACCACATTAAAAAATCAAATAGAATAGAAATGAAAAGCAGACCACTTATTTCCAAAGATAATTACTAAAACAAAAAGATGAAGCATTATTTTAGGAGTAGCTTTTCTCCAAGTCATCTAAAGGGAAGAAAAATTTGAAGTCAGTTAAAGAGCAATTTCAGTTTAACAAGGATATATAACCAACTGAATCACATCATACTGGAAATCTTTTTATGGTTATGCTAAAACATATAAATTGTGAAAATTTACAACACTAACCATATTCAGGTATCGACCATCACTCACAGCATTCCCATCAGCACTCCCAAGACTATTACCAAAAAGAAAGAAACAAATAATCAGATGAGATTGCAACAAATACAAAGGGTTAATCTGAAAAGAATTACCCTTACTTAAAACACATTAGTTATTTTCTTCTAATTGGGAGAGTTCTACAGGAACCTCAAACTAACAGTGTAAGTTTGGAAAATGTGCTTTATCAAAGATAGAAGCAATCAACTTCCACATAATAAACCGTGATTAAGTAGTGCAGATGACCTTTGTGCAGATGGATAACCAAACGTGTTCGTGTTGAAAGCAGGATTACCCATTCCAGGCATGTGAATGCTGCTAACACCTGCTAGTGCCGAAGAGTGCAAAACATGTGCAATGTGAGCTCATAGGCAAGTGTCCTTGGTGTGATCAATAGTTACTGGCCTCAAAGCAACAGAATAAACGATGAACTGAACATAACACAACAACAGTAAACTGGAAAAAAAAACTTCACACAACCTCTACGTATACAGACCACAACGCACCAAGTTTCAAACTAACAACATCTTACCAGAATCAGGAGTGACCCATGATGATGCAAGACTTCTAGCTTTCTTATCGGCACCGGTTCTCTCATCGTCTGTTTGTAAAGGTCAATCAATCAACAAAATTCAACTGGAAGATCTGAAATATATTAAAAATAACAACAAAATTCCTTGAATGGAGTTTAGAACTGATAAAAACACATACCTATCCTAGTGCGTTTGGATCTAGAGTTTGATTTTGCCAGATCAATAAAAAGAGTGGAGCCCTTTTCAAGATCAAACACCATGCCCTGCAAACCACATTAATCAAAACAAGTAAAACCACGTAGAGAAATGCATTTGATGTCAATGAGCAAAACAAGTAACAAACAATTAATGTTACGATAAGATCCTCACATTCAGAGCATGCATTGCCATGATTGCTGACTGCTGACTGGCGAACACAGCAAAAGCAAAAGGCTGCCAAGACACGAAAACCACATCAGTGAAACGATTCACATCAATTCATAAATAAAGATACCCAAGAAATTAAAATTGCAATTAACCTGAGACGAATTGCTGGGACTCCGGAGATGTGAAGACTCGTAGCCGGGAAATTCGCGGAAAAGATTGTAGATTTCGCGGGGCTTTACATCTTCAGGAAGGCCAGCGACGAAGAGGGTGCGAACCTCGTTCGTGGAGGGTTGAGGAGCGCCATAAGAACCGAACACCGCTTGCTGCTGATGCTGAGCCACGTATGGCGGATGCCCGTGGTGCGCCGAAGGGACAACCGCGCCGGGTGGCGGTGGTACCACCGCCAACAACGGAGGAGGTTGCGGAGGCGGCGGTTGATAGTACTGGTGGTAAGTGAGAAGGCCCGCCGGTTGGGGCTGTGAGTAGTAGGCAGCCATGTCGTCCATGGAATTCAGTTCACACGCGACAAGCCCTAGAATTTTGGTTTATTTTTTTCTCAATTGTTTCATTCAGTTTGTGGGCTTTGAAATTTCATTTTATTAACGTCTTAGTATGCTCAAATGGGCTTGGCCCATAAATGAAGAGGCATTGCGCTGCTACCAGAAATATTTTGCAGGGAAATTTCATCCTACACCCCTCTTTTTTCTTCCTATACCCCCATGAAAAACTGTAATTCTACAACTACATCTCATTAAAAATATAATAAAAATATTTACATCTCCTTTTCTTTCAATATTTCCAGATTTAGTTTTATGGAAAGTGTTTCTAGATTTGAGAAAAGAACAATGGTATCATGACACACTTTTACATTCATCTAATACAAAGTACAAGGGTAAAATGGTCATAAAAATATAATCTTTTATATTTTTTCAAGAAACAAGAGAGTAAAAAAGTAGAGAAAGGTAGTATCAAATAAATATAAAAAATTTAGGTAAGTCAGAATATTTTTGTTGAGAAAAACCATTGGAAACAACTACATCGAAATATATTTTTAACTTGCAATATAAGAAAATACCTTATGAAATACTCAATTTCTAAACGAAGACTAGATACAATTGTAGTTTATTAAATTATAACATGTATTCAAACATGAATTTAATTAAAGGAAATACAATGTTAAAAGGTCCATTTGAATTTGAAGGATTCAAACAAATCATTTAAGCCATAAATAACTTAAAATTTCAGACAAATTTTATAAAACTAAAAAAAAAATACTTTGAGAATAAAATACTCAATTTCACATTCATATAATTCCGTTGTTCATCTCCTATTCATAACCAACTATTAAATTATAGAACTAGAATTACAAACTCTCCCAAAGACATGAAAATTACTTTATTCAAACAACTTTTTTCATAGTTGTTTCAAATATAAGATAAATATAAGAAGAAAGGTATGCCATGAGATGTGATTAATAACTTAAAAGGTTACCTAAGTGTAAAATATCTAATAAACGATCTATCATAATTTCACATTTTAATGTTCATATTGAGAAACGGAGTGGGATAACCGATTTCTCCACATGAGTTTTTTTTTTCTAATTACGTGAGAAATTGGTTACTGATTACTCAATGAATTATTTTCTATTTTGTAATTTATTTTGAAATAGGTAACTTTGTATTGAAAATTTGGTATTGCCTTTTAAAATTAGTTTTTATTTTATTTAAAATGTTTGTGCTATGAAAGTTAAATTAAAAATGATTTTAATTATATGAATTTTATAGACGATTTTAGTGGCTTTTAAAATAGCGAAACCAATTTTTAAATACAAAATTAAAAAACAGAGTTTAAGAATAAATTACGAAATAAATAAATGTGCCTGTTGAGAAATCATTAATATTTTGTTCTTTTGTACGTTATACTTCCACACACCTAATCTCCTCGTTTTCCGTTTCCATATATATATATACGAAAAAGTTTTTTTAATAATTTATTTTGACAATATTTTTCCAACCGATAGCTTGTGATTGGTTGATTTTAAATATGCGAATCAAGTTGTTAAAAAAATTATTAACATATTATGATCTTAGATGGATTTATGTAAAACCTTTAATTAAATTAAATTATAGTATTTTATGTTAATTAACAGGCACACAACAGAAGTATCTATTTTGTATTTTGAGGGTGCCACCGTTTTCTATATCTACATTATTTACTACTGCACATGGTTATAATATGTTCATTATTCTAATAACGTCGTAATATCCTACCTCCAAATATATATTAAGGAAATAGTTAACAAAGTTGGACTATTACTGTTTAATCTTATTATTTTCTTTATACTACGAGGGATTCTGTACGTTTTTTAATAAGAATTGTATTTACATAACGAATAATTAGTCGAAATTATCAAAAATAATTTTGCACTACTTCACATGAAAGTTATCATTTTTTTATATATACTATTTATTAGCCATAAATAACAAATTTTAAAGTGCTGTAAATAAATAATATGAATAATATTTAAAAAATAACATTTTAACATGGTGAATATCTATATGCAAAACGTATAATAGCCACGTGACACAAGTGGCGAACATTTATATGAATAAAATGTATAGTTGATTGAAATAAAATTTTAAAATAAGGCCTCGATTCACTCGGGCTTCAATGATTAAGCCCACACAAAACATTTTTTGAATTAAATTAAGTCTTAAGTAAAATTCGAATACATTTAAACATTTTTTTTTGTGTGGTTCTTAATGCATATAACATATGGAAACTTCTATTCTATATCAACAATATCATATCCTCCCGTGTTGGCCTGAAGAGTGAAGGTGTGATGTGACAGTATCAGTGGGGAAGAATTGCACTGTATATAAGTGAAAGGAAGAAGAATGAAATATTGAAGAAAGCAGAAGTAGCAAAACATTAGCATAGCAATGGGGAAAGAGAGTGAGCTAAGGTCAATTTTTCTTCCTTTTCTGTCGAATAGTCACATAATTCCTCTGGTGGACATTGCCAGGCTCTTCGCCATGAAAGGAGTAGACGTCACCATAATAACAACCCCAAAAAACGCCACCATTTTCCAGAAGTCCGTAGACCTCGACTCCAGTCGCGGCCGCCCCATCAGAACGCACTTGGTGACCTTCCCCGCCGCCCAAGTGGGGCTTCCACCGGGGATCGAGGCCTTCAACGCCGACACGCCTCGCGAGATGGCCCCCAGAATCTACATGGGTCTCGCCATTCTCCAACCTCAGTTCGAACAACTATTCCACGACCTCCGGCCCGACTTCATCGTCACCGACATGTTCCACCCTTGGACTGCCGAAGCCGCCGCCAAGCTTCGCATTCCCAGGCTCATATTTCACTGCGGAAATTATCTCGCTCGTTCCGCTACGGTCATGGTGCAGCAGTATGCACCCCATCTTGCAGCTAAATCCGACAGTGACCGGTTTGTGATACCTGGGTTGCCCGACAGGTTGGAGATGACGCGGTTGCAGTTGCCGGATTGGCTCAGGTCTCAGAACGAGTACACGGAGTTGATGAAAATGATTGAAGAGTCAGAAAAAAAGAGCTACGGGTCCGTTTTCAACAGTTTCTACGACCTCGAGAGTGCTTACTACGAGCACTACAAGGGCGTGATGGGGACCAAGAGTTGGGGAGTTGGACCGGTTTCGTTATGGGCGAACCAGGATGCTTCGGATAAGGCTGTACGAGGGCACGCTAAAAAGGAAGAAGGAGAAGAAGAAGGGTGGCTTAAGTGGATCAACACCAAAGCAGAGAAGTCTGTTTTGTACGTTAGTTTTGGGAGCATGACCAAGTTTCCACACTCCCAGCTTGTTGAAATCGCGCGTGCCCTTGAAGATTCTGGGAAAGATTTCATTTGGGTGTTGAGGAAAAACGATGAGCATGGAGAAGGAGAGAAATTTTTGGAAGAGTTTGAGAAGAGAATGGAGGAAAGCAAGAAAGGGTATCTGATATGGGGTTGGGCGCCGCAGTTGCTGATTCTAGAGAATCCTGCGATCGGAGGATTGGTTACTCACTGTGGTTGGAACACGGTGGTGGAAAGCGTGAATGCGGGGTTGCCGATGGTGACGTGGCCTCTGTTTGCGGAGCAATTTTTCATTGAGAAGCTGGTGGTGGATGTGGTGAAAATCGGGGTGGCAGTGGGGGCAAAAGAGTGGAGAAACTGGAAGGAGTTTGGTGGCGAAGTTGTGAAAGCAGAAGACATTGGAAACGCCATTGATGTGGTGATGAGCGAGAAGGGCGAGGATATGAGGAGAAGAGCGAAGACGCTAAGCGATGCTGCTAAGAGAGCTATAGAGGATGGTGGCTCTTCTCACAACAACTTGAACCAACTGATTCGAGAACTCAACCAGATCAAACTTTCCAAAGCTCAAGAAACCTCACCCGCTCCTTCACACCACTTTTACCCTCGTCGTTTTGAATAAGACCTGTCGTGTTTTTTTATAATAATTTATCTGCTAGCACGTGATTGGTCCGTTTTTAAATATACAAATCAATAAAATGGACCAATGATAAATACTACTACATAATTTGTTGTTAAAAGGTTGTTAAAAAAAAGTTATCAATATATCGTGATTTCGAATAAAAATTTAATAGCGTAATTTGTATGTGTATTTTGTTTGATTGTGTTTTGAAGAGATGTAGGTTTTTTCCTTCCTGTTTTCAACAACACTTGTCGTTTTTATTACACCTCCATCAGAACAACTGAATAATGTACTTTGTGTTTGTATTTTGCTTCAGATTTCAAGCTTGATAATAAATTATTTTAAATGAAAGTGACTTGTTAAAATGTCTGATATGAACAATTTTAACTATTTTTACTTTATTTAATTATATTTTCTAAAAATATAACTTTAATTAGTGAATGACTTTTGATTACCTTATATTTTTACTTTAATTTGTGAATAAAAATGTAAGAAAATATATAAAGAAAGTTACAGTTTCTGTAATGAAAATATGCTTGTTCTTTATATACTACAGATACACTAACCACTGTGGTGCGAGCAAAGATTAGTTTATGTTTAAAGTAGTCGAATGAGATGTGTGATGACAGGAAGCACATTATAGAGTACTGATTAAAAATTAAAATTTGAAAAATATGTTTTTAATGTTTCTTAACACGATACTATATGATTAGTAGTAGTAAAAGATTCTTTTAATTCCTCGATCCTGGAAAGATCCTTATTAGAAATATAAGAATATATTAGAAATATAAGAATAGTTGATGTTAAATATAGTGAAAATTATATATGGAATTAATCTCCCTTATGTTAAACACACGTAGGGTTCTCTATTTATAATAGAAGAAATATGGGTTAAGTCCAAAATATAAATAAGAAATAATAACAAACTAACTGAAAGATAAAAGATAAAGATAAAAGATATAATATTTCTAACACTCCCCCTCAAGCTGGAGCATACAAATTGTATGAACCAAGCTTGAAATAATTGAACTTGATTTTGAACTAGATGATTTGTCTTCAAGAGTGTGAGGCAAGCAAAGATGGGTTATCACATCTCAATGAACAAACAGCAGTGGAGAAGGAGACAATAAACACTTCAACTTCAAAAGTGGATGAAGGAGAGCAGCGGAGAAGGAGACAATAAACACTTCAACTTCAGAAGTGGATGAAGGAGAGCAGGGGAGAAGGAGGCAATAAACACTTCAACTTCAGAAGTGGATGAAGGAGAGCAGCGGAGAAGGAGGCAATAAACGCAGCAGATATGTGCGGCAGATACAATAAGAAAGGAAGAACAAGGCAAGAACAGCAATATAGAGGCGAAACCCTCTACTACAGAGGCGAAACCCTCTACTACAGAGGCGAAACCCTCTACTACAGAGGCGAAACCCTCTACTACAGAGGCGAAACCCTCTACTACAGAGGCGGAACCCTCTATTACAGAGACGGAACCCTTTACTACAGAGGCGAAACCCTCTACTACAGAGGCGAAACCCTCTACTACCACTACAAGAAATGTGGGTTTTTGCGGCGGCATTTTCCCGACGGCCTACGACCCCTCGGTAATGCTGTGGTGAAATAAAATACCGAAGGCTTATGGCCTTCGGTAATGTCTTCGAAGTATTTTGGTTAAAATCAAGCTATTCCCTCTCTGCAATTCATTTTCCAGTAGCTCAAGTTTCGTCGTCCAAAACCCTTCCTCAGAAACCCTTCTTCTTTGCTCCTCCAAAACGTCATCTTCCTCTCCTCTCCAACGAGAACACCAAACCCCAAGACCCAAGCATTTTCGATTTTCTAATTTTTTTCTTAATCAATGTCTGGATTATACATTTTCAGGTAGCATCTGCCACGGTATTTTCTCTCCAGAATCATTGTAGTTACACAGTTTTGCAGGGGACGCTTTCCGGCAACGGCGCCGACATTCTCGGTTCTGGCGGATTTGCCCTGCAGCCCGGTTCGTCGGTCCACCTCACAGCTCCGTCCGGTTGGTCAAGCCGCTTCTGGGCTCGGACTGGATGCATCGGTTTTGCCGCATCCCTTGGGCAGCCGTTCACGTTCCACCAGTGCAGGTTGGATCCCGACGAAACGTTTAAACCTTCCTCTCTGAAGCTGGTTCGCGGAGAGGCTTTGGTTTTTAACTGTATGTTAAACTTGCCGCACCTGAGTTACCGTGCGCCCGATTCGATTGCGTCGTTTTTGAGTGGAGCGAAAGAGTTGAAGCCGAGGCTGGTGACTTTGGTGGAGGAAGAGCTGGGGTCCAGTGTGGGAGGGTTCGTGGGAAGGTTCATGGACTCGCTGCATCACTACTCGACGGTGTTTGACTCGCTGGAGGCTGGGTTTCCGATGCAGGGGCGGGCCAGGGCCCTTGTAGAGCGGATTTTCTTAGGCCCAAGGATAGTTGGCTCGCTGGCCCGGATATATCGGACGGGTGAAGAGCTGGAGGAGAGAAGGTCATGGGGGGAGTGGTTGGGTGCGGCAGGGTTCAGGGGAGTCCCGATGAGCTTCG